TTTCCTCTGCGACCAGCACGGATCAGCTCTAGGCATGACGAAGCGGATATCGTCCTCTTTTGGAAGACCAAACAAAGTAGTTTCGCTTTCACAACGAAGCACACAGCGTCTTCAGGACATGGCGGCAGCGTCAACAATACTACAGCGAGAATAAAAGTTACGCCTTCTTTCTTTGCGTGAACATTTGGGCGGCGTTATGCAAATCTTCCCACATAGTGAGGTAGATATGTGGGGGCGTGTTAGAACGAGCCGTTTTAGGTAGGTGTGGCTGACTCTCAATTTTTATAAAGAATATCTCTTTGGATTTGAGACTTTAGTCTTTGCAACTTTACAGATCTTCTTTATGCACCAAGAGCTTGTAACACGCCAAAGAGAAAGGAAAAATTGAAATCGCATCATATGACCCCTTTAAGGTGTTCTTAGCATGTTACTATGGTTACTATTGTTTTCCATGGTTTCTATGGTGCTGTGAGGAGTCACATTACTAGGATGTTTTGAGTGGTTGCCATGCAGCTGCTAGGGCATCGCAGAGTGGCATCACGGTGTTCTGGTTGTGTGTGGTGGTTGCTTGAGTGTTGCAAAGGTGTTATAAAGTTACAGTGTTTTTCACAGTGGTTGCTATGGTGCTGTTAGTAGTCCCTACGATGTTGCTAGGAAGTTCTGGGTGGTTGCTAGGCAGCTGCTATGACATTTCTATAGATGTATGCCAGGTTGGTAGGCCTGCAATTCGCAATTCCATGTAGGTTGTTATGGTACTGCTAGGTAGTTGCTAGGGTGCTGGGAGCAGTCCATTGCTAGGTGCTAGGATGTTGTAATTGGTTGCTAGGGTGCAGTATTATTAGGTGGTTACTATAGTATTCAGGATAGAGCATTGTTAGGATGTTCTGAGTGGTTGCTAAGAGCTTGATACAACATTGCAGGGCAGTGCTCTGGTGTTCTCAGTGGTTGTCAGGCTGTTGTTATGCATTTGCTAAGGTGTTTTGAGTGTTTGTTAGCATATTACAAGGTGTTTAATAAGGTTAGTGTTCTAAATGGTTGCTAGGCAGTTGCTAGGGCATTGCCAGGCAGTGCTGCAGTATTCTAAATGGTTGCTAGGTGGTTGCTAGGGCACTGCCAGGCAGTGCTGCAGTGTTCTAAATGGTTGCTAGGCAGTTGTCAGGACACTGCCGGGCAGTGCTACAGTGTTCTAAATGGTTGCTAGGCAGTTGCTAGGGCATTGCCAGGCAGTGCTACAGTATTCTAAATGGTTGCTAGGCGGTTGCTAGGGCATTGCCAGGCAGTGCTGCAGTATTCTAAGTGGTTGCTAGGGCACTGCCGGGCAGTGCTGCAGGGTACACACACACACCTTCACCAAAACACAACAGCCGCTTTCACTGGTCCGCCTCATTTCCTATCGTGCTCTGTTTGTGTAGCACCACAGCTCTTCAGTCTGTTGCCGCTCCGTCCGCTGTGACCCGGGGTCAGAGGTCAAAGCAACAAACCCAGCCCTCAAAAAACAATGTAAAAATAACTGCTGGCCCTCCTGCTGACGCTGCTTATGGAAAATACACTAGACCATGTTTACTGTGACGGTGTATCAATTTGGTTCATATTTCAAATATTGTAAAATATTACTACAATTTAAAATAGCTGTTTTCTATGTGAATATATTGTCAAATGTAATTTATTTCTGTGATCAAAGCTGTATTTTCAGCATCATTCCTCCAGTCTTCAGTGTCACATGATCCTTCAGAAATCATTCTAATATGCTGATTTGAGCTCAAGAAACATTTCTGATTATTATCCAAGTTGAAAACAGTATATTTTTGTGAAAACTGATACATTTTATTTTTTTAGGATTCACAGATGAATAGAAAGTTCAAAAGTATTAACCTTCTGTAACATTATAAATGTCTTTACTGCCACTTTTGATCAATTTAATGCATCACTGATGAATGAAAGTGTTAATTTCTTTAAAACAGTGCGTCATTACTCACTGCGGTTGGATTCGCTGCAGCAGCTTCATACTGTAGTCGAACTCTCTGAGGCCTCATGATGTCATCCTGAAACACACATCATCATCATCATCATCATCAGTCAGGAAGTGTGTCCTGATGTGCATATGTAGCTTAAAAGACACAAAACATAAAAATTAACAAACTATACTTTAAATCAACAACATAAATACATACAAGGACAAAATGATTGCACTTTCTTATTTTTAAATATTCAGTGATTTTTAAAGCAGAGTGACGCATTCGGTTCATATGTGACCATATCATAATCTCCATCAGCGGATCATCAGGAGGTGTTTTATAGAAAGCAGCATTTGGTTTTCTCCTAAGGAATCTGTGTGTTTAAGTCCCGGCAGCTCTGCGATCTGGCGCTCCTGGAGGAGAGCAGGATTCCTGGCGTTCCTCTGAACCTCAAGGAGAGCTGGTTTTGGCCTCTGGAAACCAGCGCACGTAAAAATCCCTCCCGAATAACCGGCCATAAAACCACCATCTGAGTAAAGTCAACAGAACTAATGGAGCTACATCTGTAGGCGTGTGTGTCAGGATTATGAGAGGCGTAAATCACAACCAGACACACTTACAACACCAAAAACACCCACAAACAGCAGAAAGTACAGTAAAGTGAGAAGTAGAAATCATCTGAACTTTTTTCAGTTATTACTAAACGATTTCATCCAAAAATTAACATTCTAGCATGATTTATTCAGCCTTATCCGTTATCTTAAAAGTATTTATGTTATATATATATATATATATATGTATGTGT